GCCTCACAAACAAGAACCAAACCTTTATGCCAATTTTACCAGCCAACACCCACCAAAATGCCCAAACCAGAATCAAAAACCCACCAAGCAAAAACGCCCACCCCCAGTCTAATCCCTCAACCAAGCCCTCCTCTTCTCCTCCTTCCTCGCCCTCCTCTTCTCCTTGAACTCCCTCAGCTCCTTCTTACTCGGCTTCTTCCCCGCCCTCTCCGCCTTCAAGCTCCTCCCATCATGCATATTCGCCGCAGCATCCACATCAAAAAACGCATTCAGCTGCCTCCTGCTCTTCTGCTCATCCGAATGCCTCTCGGCCCCCTGCTCCGGCATCTGCCACTGCCCCGTCTGTTTATTAAAGTAACCGCCCACAGCATACTCCGCCGGTGCAGGGGGAATAACACTCTGCTCCGCTTGTTGCTGCAGCGCCCTCGCGTTGACGGCATACCAGGCGTTTTCATCGTATGAGCCGTGAATGGCGGGGTTGTAGCCTCCTGCGATGGAGGTTGGGTTGGAGATGGAGGTAGGGTCCGTTTGGGGGGGTGTTGGTGCCGTGGGTGGGGCGGTTTGAGGGATGGTGGTGGATTGGCGGGGGTTTTCGAGCTGCCAGTGATTGCTGAAGCGGTTATAGAACCAGTATTGGTTGTCGTTTGGGTTCCAGTGGTATTCCCAGCCGTCGTCTGCCGGTTCGGGGGCTGGTGTGGGTTCGGCGGGGAGGGCTGAGGAGTTGTTGTTGTCTGCTCCTGGCAGGGGCTCGTTTGGTAATGGGGGGCAGTTGTTGCCGGGGAGGGGCTCGTTGGGGAGTGGTGGGTGGTCGTGGTCGGCTTCTGATTCGGAGACTTCGCCTTCTTCGTCGGATGAGCTTTGTGATGGGGAGGGTGAGCCTTCTCTGGGGGAAGTGACTGTCTCCTCAGCATCTTTGGGGGAGCTGGTTGATTCATTGGGGTTTGGTTCGTTGCTGTTGGCTTCATCGGCTGGGGGAATAGCTTTGGGAGTCTGGTCCGCCTCTTTTAGGTCTGCTTCAGGTGATGTCTCTTGCTGGGGAGTCGCGTTTGCGTTCTCGATGCGCTCCTCTGGCACAACTGGAGGCGCTGGAGACTCGGTCTCGGCTGGCGTCGACATGGTGATGTAGTGGTGCTGTCAATTGGAAGGGCGTTTTGGGGTTCGGAGTTCAAGAGAGTTGGTTGATTGTTTGCCGATCGTCCCAACCTTCTTGAGGGAGAGCCGGGAAGAATGCGAGTTCGAAATGAAGGGAATAAGCTTGGAGTTGGAAAATCGAGACCCTTCAATCGCGCTTCCAGTGCATCTCTCGGTTTCGGTGGAGACAGGCGAGATCCAGAATCGCAGATCAAATTCCTGTAGCCGATTGGGTAAGGTATGGCTGCGGATAATTGCATGATACATGTTGTCAGAAAAGCCCTGCTTAAATGCATCAGCCAATGACGGTGTTTTGATTGGACCACAAGCTAAGCTCTTTTGCCAAGCTCGAGGTGGGGATCGCGAAAGCTTATTTCACTTTCCTCTTCAAACTCCCAACGACAAGTTAAGCAATTCATCACTTCAAGCTCGATAGTTTGTGTGCTTTCTCATGGCTCAGACAGTTTTTCTCCCACTGTATATCTCGCATCGACAGCACTCTCGGTTGTCATTTCCATGAAGGGACACGAGACCCGACACTCCTCCAGGCTTATGACATTTTCAACAATCTGGAACATGGACAACCATCAATTCTCATCCTCAGGCCACGTTCCAGAATAATTGCAATCCCACTCTTCTCTCCCTACTAAATTGGAAAACATTTTACAGCACCGAACCCACGTTACGCAGCATCATGCCCGAAGTTTCTCTTTCTTCCCGTTCCTCCATTTTTAGGATCTCGGCCTGGCTACCCTTTAGCCGGATAAACAGTGACATCCACTATGGACGCCTTGTATGGAAGAATGCTGATCCTGGGGCCTGGGTCACTCTTATACCACACATTCGCTGCCTCGATCAGCTCAAACTGAAGCTGATTCGTCGGGGCAAGTGCCCCTGATACCACCCGTCTAGACAGAGTGTTATTCAAGCCTGGATCCTACTTACCCAGCCAGGCATTGACCAATAGATTGAAGAAGGTTGTGGTTTGATCTTACTACAAAAAGTCTACTTGGGCAAACTTATAAGCTGGTCAAACGGCCCTGCCTGTTCCCGTCGGTCCGTGACGACTTGAAAACCGGCCTGGGATCTTGGCTGTATATGAAGTTCTCTCACGCCACCTCTCCTAGCTTATTTTGCAAATGCTGATGCATGAGTGCATATCCTCCTATTTATCTTTTTTCTCCTAGTTCATTTCTGTGCCCTGTACTGGCTTGATTTTCATTTATATCACGTCATATTGCTTTACACGAAGCTTGTCATTCTAAAATACCCCTGGACTGGGGCGACATCGCAATGGAGATTCTAAGCCTCCTCCTTCTCGGCGGTGCTGTGGGAGTCAATGCGCAACAAGCACCTCTCACCGAGGATTCCAGATGCGGTTGCTATCTCATGAAAGGCAATGAAACAGCATACTTCAAGGAACATCGCTTTTTCGACTTTCGAAACCACCACCACCACGCAAGCGTACCCCCAGTCATCACAGAGGTCAAGGACACATCCGACGCACCTATCACGAGCCCTTTCTTCAACTCGACCGAATGGACGGATTTCTGGATGATAAGCAACTGGAACAACAGCCATGGCATCCGCGAGGACTCTACATTGCTGATGGTCAACTCACCAAACAACGTCTACCTCGAAGCAAACCACGACGCTGACTCCTCCCCCAAATCATGGCTCTCACTCCGCACCGAGCGTCTCCAAAAGTTCCAAACCACAGCAGAGATAGAATCCCTCTCGGCAAAATTCAAATTCGTCTCCATCCGGATGTTAGCCCGCACGATTGGCGCTCGTGGTGCCATCACAGCCATGTTTACGTACCGCCACTCGGAGGACTACTACCAAGTACAAGAATCCGACCTGGAAATCCGCACCAGCGACCCCAAGAACGTGATTCATTGCACCAACCAGCCTTCTTTGGACAGTGAGGGGGATGTTGAAGTCCGTGCCAGCAAAAACGCCACCATGCCCAATGGTCTGGAGTGGTCAGATTGGGCTGTTCACAGGTTGGATTGGACGCCGAGGAGCACGACGTGGTATGTGAATGATATACAGGTGGCGAGTATTGAGTTTCAGACGCCGAAGGATGTGAGCAATATTATTTTGAATGCGTGGAGCGATGGGGGGGAGTGGACGGGGAATATGACGGTGGGGGAGTCGGCGTATTTGCAGTTGCAGTGGTTTGAGATTTTGTATAACACGACTGAGCCGGAGAAGAGACAGGAGCAGGGGCAGGGTGTGTGTCATTCGGTTTGTAGTGTTGACGGGTCGCCGGAGGTGGGGAGGCCGGTTATGCTTTGGAGCAATGGGGGAGGGCGGGGGGCGGGGGTGTTTATGGGATGGGTTCCGGTGATGGTGGTGACGGTGTTGTTTTTGCTTGCTTGAATAGGGGTTGTTTAACGGGTGTTTGGCGTTTGGAAGGAATTGTTTGGTAGTTTTATGTTTGCTAGATCATAGGAATCATGTTTATAAGAACAGTTCTGTCAGTTTATGATTTCGGTTGTAGGTACAATGGGATTACTTCGTCAATATCGCCTGCGGTAGAGCTCACTCGGGCCTCAAGAACATGAGTTTCTTGAAACATTCAACCCTCGCCATCAGGCAAGGAGGTCATAAACCAATTCTCGCTCCCAAAACATCACATACGACCATAGACAGCTGAAAATACGGCATCCCGTCCGCTCTGCCCGAGTCAAACAGCTGATCGCCAGACTAGTACTCAGGTGGGTGACCACTGGGGAATCCCTGGTGTTGTATGTTTTTTGTGCTTTTTAATGGTGTCCACTTGACTCCATCGAGATCTCTTGGCGTTCACCCCCCTTTTTGCTGCTTCTCTGAACAGATCAGGTATGATCACTAGCTGGGACTTCAGGAAAGAGAGGGAAATAGAGAGAGAGTATGGTTACTTGACTGGAGAGGCAAGATTTTTTTTTTTAAAAAAAAAACATCAAGTTGACAGATGCTGAAATTGGCATGGAACGACAGCAACGATGGCAACCTCAATATCATCAACACTCACAGATAACTACCCTATTAATTCCAGACTAATAAACTGAAATCTAAGGTCGATGGGTTGGTTAGGTACGAGAAGTAGAGCAAGCAATAATGGTCAACAACAAAAAGCCCCGGCCGAAAAGTCGCCAAATATATTCAACATATGCAAAGGTACTACTGACTAAGTGGGAACAAATGAAGCACAGCCATCATCTTCCTAAGATAATATAGGTAGAAAAAGCAAAAGCTCACCGGTCAGCCCCCTCAGCGTTCTGAGAGAGGTGGCCGGTTACGAAACCCCTCTCGAGGGGTTTGCTTTGGAATCGAACCTGGGGGCTATCGGTTGCAAGCCCCCCGGCGGGGGGCGAGTTTTAACAGCCCCAACATCCTTACCATTTGGACCTGATCACAAGGGTGCCCTGGTAAGGATATTGGAGCTGTTGGAAGGTACGCGGTTGTCCCTTCCCTCTCTTGCTTTGGATGGAATGGCTGCATCACATGACGACCGTGGGTTGTTGACCAACCCGTGCCTTCCCTCTCACAAGTAGTCCCTCTCGCTTCTTTCTGCCTTTTACGATCTCTTGATAACACACTGTTCGCTTACATCTGGCCAGCCATCCTGCGACAACAAGACACCACCAATCACTCAGTTCAATCCTACAACATCGTCTAATCATGAGCCTCGTCACACCTCCGAATTTTGTCGGGAAGTAGCCTCTATGACCACTGAGAGGTGATTATAAGCGCTATGTTCGACATGAAGACCTTGGCGCTGCAGTACAGCTGCCGTGTTGGAAGCAGGCTGGGTTGGCGCATGAGAGCCTTGTCTGACTTTCAAGTCGGGAGAGACGATTATAAGTGCAGTTGAGTATCCATCGCAGCCCAAATCCATTATAATCCTCTTGAATTGTCTTTTCACCAATTCTTGACATCTGGACATCACCATTTCCCAACGGCCATGTCCTCCTCCCTCTACGAACCCCTTCATCCCACCGAGTTCAGGCTTCTCAGACTGTTACCACGCCGTAGGGAGAAAGACACAAGAAAAGCGGGAGGAGAGAAGGGTGCAGCCAAAACGAAAAGAGGAAGAGGGGGTAATAAGGGAAGAAAGTGGAGAGCCAGGGAGGGTAAGAAGGTCAAGAGTGCGGAAAACAGTGAGCTGATCTCCCTCAAACCAAAGACATTCCCGATCAGCAAGTGCCCAAGTTACCAAGCCCTTCCATACTGCTGGGGACCACCTGAGCCCAAACAGAATATACGAGTAAACAAGACTCGCCAGTTGGACATTTGGCCAGAACTTCACAAGGCTCTTCAAGTGTTCAGAGACTTGGATGCCATCCGGCACCCTCAATGGATCTGGATCGATCAGATATGCATCAATCAGGAAGACGAGGACGGGAAAGGTGTCCAGATTGGAATGAAGGGTGACATCTATAGAGAGGCGGAACTCGTCACCATCTGGGCCGGTGACGGTGACTCGAAGATGGAAGAGAGCCTGGAGAAGACGAGGGAGTTCGCATTTGCGATAGCGCGGTGTCCGCCTATGAGAACACAGGGTTTCGTGGTGTTGGGTATGTACAGCCGCCACTTGAAAGACTGTGAAGCCCTCTTTCAACGCCAGTGGTTTACCCGCATATGGACACTACAAGAGGTTCTCTTGGCCAGGAGTGCACGGCTGGTTTGCGGTCGTTCCATCAAAAGCTGGGATGAACTAGCCACCGTGTACTTGCGCTGTCCGGAAGAGTGCCAAAGCAGCATAGGTGTGGCTAGAAGGGCAAGCCTTGGATATGGGGCCCTAAAGCCTTTTGGTATGATTTCTGCTCTTCATTCAAGGAACTGGTTAAGCCGTTGACTAATAAAAACGGCAGATACTCTTGTTCGCTGCCAGGAGCGGAATGACTCTCGTCGCTACGATCTCGAGGTAGTCACTCTTGTTCGGCAACGGGATTGCACCGAGCCTAGGGACAGAGTGTATGGAATACTCAGGCTTGTCAGTCCGGAAATCCAGACGCAAATTACTATCGACACCACACTTCATCATTGCACGGCATTCAAAGACTTCGCCAAGGCCTTCCTCAAGCATCATGGGCCTGACCTTTTCATCCTCGTTCCTGGACGGGTTGATGCTGAGCAAGAGTCAGTCAGAATCTCAAAGTGACACAAATCTACCATCCTGGGTCCCCGGTCTAACCCTGCCTCCCTTCATGACACGTACTTGGTCTCGTCACGAAGCGGGGAGACGCTTCTCAGGGCTGACGCCGGAACACCCACTGTTCAACGATGATGATACTGCGATTCAAGTCGCTGGAATACACATGGCCACCATCAAGCAAGTTTACCCAAGCGTCGATATCGAGGCCTTGGCGCCCCAGCTGGATGCAGACCACAGGATGATGGAGAGATTGGGATTCCAGGGGCCTTCTTTCACTTCTATTGATCCTGCCAGAGCACGCCAAGACATTCGTACTTTGATACAGCGGACACACTCGCATTTTGGATACAATGCAACCCCTCCTCTCGGCCGTGCCGATTGCATTCGCACTTTGATGGGCAGGTACTTGTACCCCGAGTGGCTCGGCGAAAACCTCGACCACCGACAACAATTTTCTCAGTTATTAACCGCACTTGGGTCATCATCTAGGGGCACTTCTGACAATGGTCTAGCCAATGGTCCAGCCAATGTATTTTTGACCTCCATGGCCGAGGCCTGGAAGGGCGCTTGTTTGGTTACTGCTACCGTACCGGGACGTGATGGTGTATCGGCGGGGATTGCGCCCATGACATCGGAAAAAGGGGACAAGATTTTTCTTTTCTTTGGGGGTTCAACTCCTCTCCTTACCACGCATTCACCCCACCCTCATCCAACTTACAACCTAATTCCCCCCTCCTTATCTCGATCACTTCATCCATGGAATTTCCTTTCAACCCAGAAACCGCTGGATAACTATTACATTTTCACCATCATTTATTTACCCACACCCAGCCCATTTTTCATTAATTATCATTTATTCATCTATATTCCCTCGAGATTTCACCCGCTAACAATCTCTCTCCTTTTTCACTCCCTCTTCTTCTCCACCTCCTCTTTCAATGCCTTTTCCAACTTTCCATCCCCCCATTTTTCTCATCCCCTTCA